AAATAGTAATAAAATAATTGATTTTTTTAAGAAAAACATTATATGCGTATTTTTTAACACATACGTTTAATGTCCGTTTAACTATTTTTGATATCTGTTTAGATCATTCGATATCTCTACGATATAGTTCTCAAAATGAGTTTTGAGAGAATGTAAAACATTTATCGATTCGACTATCGCACAATCGTCGATTAATTTTTAAAGTTAGCTTGTTATCAAGAATTTCGAAATATAGTTTGAAAATGTCTATTTTGACGTTCAATAACATTTGCTATGATTGACCGTTTCATGCACTATTAACGACGTGCAATACTATATCGCGAATACTTCAAGACCATATTAAGAATATAATATTTCAATTTCGTTTGATATCCCGTAATGAACCTAAAAATAAACACAAAAATATAAGTAAAAATAAAAAAATAATAAAAATAAAAATAAAAATTTGATTTCTCCAGGTCTCCGTGCACGGAGTCTTTGGGCCTCCGTGTACGGAGTCCTCTTATTTTTTTTCTTTTTTTTCTTCTTTTTTAAATAAAAGCTAATACATCTTTATACGATATAAATTAACTACAATGATATATATTTTTTATTTATTTATTTATTATTATTTTTTTTTTTAACAACTTGAAGCAAACTTTTTACTATGTAAAAAAATATACTTAAAACTTTGAGTTAATATTTAATCTAAAGTAATATTTTGATAAATTTAATTTAAAAAATTCAATATTACTAAAAATATTACTATAAAATTATATGTTGTCTGAAATTATTAAATATATCCAGCTACGATGATATATATATATATATATATATATAGTTTTCTATATTTATAATAATGTAAAAAAAAATATCCATGTATACACGGAGGAACGCGTCTTTTTTGCTCCCCACTTGAAAAAAATGAAATTTTAAATAATTGAAAAAAATTTACGTCATACCGCATAATTTTTTTTGAGCAAAATGATGTATTAAGAAAAATGTTGCGAAAAAATAATAAATAACAATAAAAAATTAATTTTTTAAAGAAAAAATGACTTATACGCATTTTTTAACACATACATTTAATGTTCGTTTAACTATTTTCGATATTTATTTAGATCATTCGATGTCGCTACGATATAGTTCTCAAAATGAGTTTCGAGAGAATGTAAAACATTTATGATTCGTACAACCATCGACGAATTTTTTAATTTAGCTTGTTATCGAAAATTTAGAAATAGTAATAAAATAATTGATTTTTTTAAGAAAGAACGACTTATGCGTATTTTTTAATACATGTTTAATGTCCGTTTAACTATTCTTTATTTTTTTTAAATATTTTTGTTGTTTACATTATAAATTTTTTTTCAATTTAAAATTCTTTTATCTTAATAATTCCAAACAGAAACTTAGTTTTGATTTGCATTATAAATAATTTTTCTTTTCAGCTTAAAATTCTTTCTTAATTTCTTTATCTTTAATTTTTTTACTCGCAAGTAACTTTTTATCTCTTAGAAATATTTTCTATCTTATATTATTAGTATTTTTATTTTTTAATAATTTCAAATAATATTTAATTTTATAGTAATAAAATATATAAAAAAATTTACTTTAAAATATTTTATTATACTATAAGAAACTGCTGCAACACGTAATTTCCATACTTCCCACCTCTCCATGCTCAACCACTCTTATATAAATATATATAGTAGGGATATAAGAAAAAAATATCTTTTATATTAAAAAAATAAAAATATATTTTACAAAAAGTTACTTTTTAGTAAAAAATTTGAAAAAAAAAAAAGAATTAAAAAGAATTTTAATTCTTGTTGTTCACATTATAAATTTTTTTTTCAATTTAGAATTCTTTTCTCTTAATAAGTCTAAACAGAAACTTAGATTTGAGAATTTTTTTCCTGTGTAATTTTACGTTATAAATAATAGTTTTTTCAATTTAAAATTCTTTTTAATTTTTTTCTTCAAATTTTTTATTATTAATCGGTATTTTTTAATAGTTTTAGATAAAATTTAATTTTCTAGTAATAATTTAATATATAAAATGATGGAAAAAAAAACATATTCACTCCGTGTATGGAAAAAAAAATTTCAGTCATACCACATAATTTTTTTGAGCAAAATGATGCATTGAGAAAATTGTTGCGAAAAAATAATAAATAGTAATAAAATAATTGATTTAAAAAAAAAAGACGTATACGTATTTTTAACACATACGTTTAATCTCTGTTTAACTATTTACGATATTTATTTAGATCATCTGATATCTTTACGATATAGTTCTCAAAATGAGTTTCGAGATAATGTAAAACATTTATCGATTCGACTATTGTACGATCGTTGGCGAATTTTTAAAGATAGCTTGTTATCGAAAATTTCGAAATAGTAATAAAATAATTGATTTTTTTAAGAAAAACGACTTATACGTATTTTTTAACACATACATTTAATGTCCGTTTAACTATTTTTGATATCTATTTAGATCATTCGATATCTCTACGATATAGTTCTCAAAATGAGTTTCGAGAGAATGTAAAACATTTATCGATTCGACTATCGTACAATCGTCGATAAATTTTTAAAGTTGACTTGTTATCGAAAATTTTGAAATATAGTTTGAAAATACCTACTTTGACGTCCGATAACATTTGCTATGATTGACCGTTTCATGCACCGCTAACGATTTGCAATACTATGCCGCGAGCACTTCAAAACGATATTAAGAATGTAATATTTCGATTTCGTTTGATATCTCGTAATGAGCCTGAAAATGAACACAAAAATAAAAAATAAAAAAAAAATTATTTCTCTATCCGTGCATGGAGAGTCCTTCAAAATTTATTTTTTTTTCCCTCCGTGCACGGAAAGATTAATTTAATTTAATTTTTTTTTTTTGCTGTGTAGTTTTACATTATAATTTTTTTTCAATTTAAAATTCTCTTTAATTCTTTTCTCTTCAAATTTTTTACTTACAAGTAATATGTTGTAAAAAAATTTTTATCGTATATTATATGTATCTTTTTTTTTATATATAAAAGTAATTTTTTTCTTATATCCCTACTATATATATTTATATCGGAGTGGGGGAGGAATGAAAATTGCGTGTTGTAGTAAATTTGGAGGTAGTGTATAATAAAATAAGATATATATCAAGCAAATGGTGTCGTTTTTTGCCCCCAATTGAAAAAAAAAAGGCAAAAATGATACTGTAAAGATGAATCAAGACACTGTTGCTTTCTACAGTGCCCTCACATTCCCCTTTTTTATATAGTAG